GGGGTGTTTTCCACCAATCTCCACAGGGCCTCTCCCTCAGAGAGCTTACTCCCAACAGCCCCACCTGGCAGGGAAACCACCCCCGAGGGGCAGGGGGGGAATGCACGGGATCCCTCAAAAATGCCTTGACCGGGACCCCCGCGAGACGGGCCGAGGGGTGGGACAGGCTCGGCCCTATCCATGCTCTGCATCTCCTGCCCAGGGGTGGGAAAGGGGGGTCCTTCCTTGGGAACAAGGCTCCGTTGCGGTCCCAGGAGGGTTTCACACCACCTGCACCCCCGAATGTCATTTTTGTCATTTGAGGAGCACGGTGGCACACGAGCATCTTGGAGCAAGGCGCCTGTGTGCCACTCACATCCAGTTACGCTGCTCTCCTCCAAGGGGAGACTTTTTTTTGGCATGTTTAGGATGAAACGAGATACGGAAAAGGGATAGTCTCCAGAAGCAGAAGCAGGGAGGAATGTGATGGCAAAGACACTCAGTTCCTGCTCTTTATCTGCTTCGGAGAACTGCGATCACTGCACAGCCTTCCCTAGGCTTAGCCCTGACCTGGGAGACACCTCTGCAGAGCCGGAGTCTCTTACAGGGGCCAGCACAAATACCACCAAATTTTTGGGGTTTTGGATCCATTCCTGATAGCAAATATTTCACAGCAGAGGTCTGTGCAAATGAAGAGCTCACATTCTCTGAAGCATCAGATCAACTGCCCCGGAGAGCGCGGTCCCCATCCCCATCCCCTGGGTGCTGCCCAGGAGCTGGCGAGGGATGGAGGGCTGGGCTGAGATCCCCTTACAAATTAAGCGCACGGCGACACCCAGGTATGCTCCAGCATCACGTGGAGGGACATGCGGATGGAAGACTTTACACCAAGCAGGGCAACATCATCCGTTAACATCAGCCATTCCCTCCCAGGTCTCGAGCAGGAATTTGCTTTATTTACTGGAACTACTCGACAGCCTTGTTTATGCCATCCCGTGGTGACTTTGGCCACAAGCAGTTGCGCTGTCAGGCTGCCCAAAATTCTTCACCCCTCAAAAAAAGCATTTCTTTGGGTAAATATCCACATTCTCAAGCAAAGAAAAGGTGGAGGGCTGTGTCCTGTGCCAGATGTTTCTGGCTTTGGGCTTGTTAAGTGTAAGCTGGCCAGTTGGGAAACAGCCCATAGCACAGGTTCAGGGACAGCGAGGACGAAAAGGATCCCAAGAGATCACCCCGTCCCTGGCACGGCCCCAGGCAGGGCCAGCTCTAGGAAAAGGCTCCCCGACTACTCATGCAAACCTGCTCATGGACCACAGGGATGCCCCCCTGCGAGGATGCTCTGGTACCCGGCATGGTCACGCTTTTGGGGAGACAGCCTGGCTGCGAGCAGCCCTGCCCTCCATCTTGAGCTGAAGCAGTGGAAAAGCTCATCACCACCATGCAGATGTGAGACTCTGAACTTCAGAGGGGACACTGGGCGCCAAAATGCCTGCTCAGGACCCATCTCAGCAATGGGGCAGAGGCAGCTCCATGGGCTGCACCCCAGGCAAGCCCTCCCTTCCCAGCCCATCCCAGAGCACACGCTCCGAGTGGAAAGCTGAACCTTATCCCACCATTCAAAGCTTTACGAATATTAAGTCAGGTCTCTGCTGGATGGCGGAAGGAAAAGCTGACTGGGAGAGTGAAAACATCAGCAGGGATTTAATTGCTAATGACTCCCCGGGGTGCAGCTGGGAGCACCGGCACCCAGACAGTCCCCGCAGCCCTGGTGCAGTGCAGGGGCCACAGCAGCAGCATCACCCCATTAAGTGGATGCACGGTACCGTTTGGGAAAAGCACACAATCCTTGCAGGAACCCAGGGCTTGGAGCCAGTGGAAAGGCTCACCCCAGTGTGCCTGGGGGGCTGGCCCCGACCTTCCATCAAACAGAAGGGAAGCGGCAAGCGGGGAGGTTTCAGGCTGTGCTGATGGCAGCTGGGGAGTCCATGGTGAAAGCCAAACCTCCCTGCTCCTCCTTGCACTGAAATACCAGCTCGGCTCGAGGACACAGGGCAGGGTCCAGCCCCGCGCCCCCCGCCAGCGCCAGCAAAGGTCATGCAAAGGCAGCACAGGTCCAAGTTTTGAATTGCAGGGGTATCCATCTGCATTAATTACATATTTGCTTGCTGCCTTAAGCCTGGCTGTCATCCACCCATGGGGCAGATCCTTCAGCACCGCAGTAATTGAGTTGGAGGGAATGTCATGGGCTTTTGAGCCGCCCTCATCACTGCAGCATCCAGATGTGCTCCCGGAGAGCACCAGGGGTCTCTGCCAACATCTGTGCAGGATCCCCTGGTGGGGATCAGCCCTGGCAAGGAGCAAAACCTGCCACGAAACCAAAAACCTGAGCAAAGCCCATCCGAGTCTCATCTCGCACTCCTGATGGAGGCAGGGAGGTCTGAGCACTTCTGCAGACGGCGGCTCTTTGGTGGAAACTACATAAAACTGGATGGCCTTGACCCAAAATCCAGATGGCTTTTCAGCAAGCGTTGGAAGCCGAGGAGCCCCAGGGAACTGTGAACCTGCCTGGAGCAAGGCCCCGTGCACGGCACCTGCCACCGAGAGGCAGCGGGGCAGGAGCCAGAGCACAGCACCCTCCACATGCATGCACCTATCAAATACAAAATGTGCTGTTGTCCCCCACTTAAAACTCTTTTGGAAGGGAAGAGGGTTTCTAGTCTCTGCTTTGCCCAGGCTGGCTTGGCACCGGCATCACCAAGAGCAAACCTCAGTTTCCTTTGGAGGCGCAGCACTGCCCACCCCAAACCGGTGGTCGGACCGAGCAAGAGGAGACATTCAGGGTTTTGGGCAGGTTGCTTTAGATCCCCTCCTCTTCCCAGCCCGGCGCAGAGCTCACTTACCATTTCTTCCCCCCAATGTCATGCTGCTGCACTGTGTAGCCAAAATATGCTTCCTTAGAGCCAGCTATGATTTTGGGCCTCTTGGTGTCAATGTTGAAGGTGTCACTAAACCCTGAGGAGAGAACAGAAGGATCCTGTCAGCTGAGGTGCTAGGATGGTAGGAGAAAACACTTTTTTATTGTGGCCAGAGTCTGAACAGGTCATCCCAAGAGTCTGGGCAGCCTCCACCCATGGAGATATCCAAATCCTAATGGGACACAACCCTGGACAACCTGCTCCAGGTGACCCTGCTTGAGCAGGGGTTGGGCTAGGTGACCTTCAGAGGTGCCTCCAACCTCACCCATCCTAGGAATTCTGCTCCCGCAAACTGTAGAATATTCCCCAGGAAGGTCCTACAGGAAACAGGGGTGGCTTTACCCCATCACAGCAGCTCTGTGGCACAGCATTCCCACAGCCAGCCACGATGGAGAGGAGGCTGCAAGGACCGAAGCACAGCAGCCCCTCCTCACCTGCAGCCGCCCAGCACACCTCTCCCCAGCACTGAGCCTTCAAGGAGGAGCCAGCCCTGGGTCTTCAGCTTTAAGTGGGTTCATTTAGGGTTTAGCGGCCACAGCTGCCCAAGTCCTGGAGGGCAGCCCCCTTCCCCAGCCCACCTGCAAAGGGGCTTCACCCTGGCAGGCACCAATGTGCTCCTCGGGGCTGCTGGCTGGTGCCCACCACTGCTACCAAAGCAAAAGGGTTTCTGGTTTATGATAAAGAAAAAGGTATTTTTCCTCTAGGCTGCTGAAAAAGTGAATCAGCTGAAGCCAGGGCTGCCAGGATGGGCACAGGGAGGGGAGAGGGGAGCACCCTCCTCCCCGCTAATGTCTCCTCAAACCCCCTGCGCTGGGTGATGCTGCTTTGCAATGCTTTGCTCTTCCAGCTGTGGAGCAGCAGCTGCTCATGGTGGAGATGGCCACCACCATGTCCCCACACCCCCCAGCAGGGACCACGGGCTGGGGAAATGTGTGGCCGTGCCAGATGTGCCCGGTCTGGAGCCCATCACCCAGGCCTGGCTGTCGCCGTGGGCCACCTCCTGCTGTCCCCAAGGGGTTTGCAGGACCAAAGGGCCAAAGTTGGGATTCACTTTTCCTGGGTGAGCAAAAGCCGGTGTCGCTGGGGGGTTTGCTAGGGAGAGGTGGCTCTGGAGGGGGATGTTCCCCAAGGATGGATGCTCAGAGCTGGACGGGGTGATTTTGGGGCTTAGTCCTCTCCCCACGGCTGCGCTGGAGGATGTCCCTTCCCTCAGGACAGTGGAGCAGGATCCCTGGCCACAGCATCCCAGCTCTGGGGAACCCGGTGCTCATAGCCCACGTGGGTCAAACTTCAAGAGCAGTTTGCTTGCCAGGGAGGGAATCTTGGGGGGTCGGTCTGGCAGCTCCTCCCTCTGCTGGGAGCTGGACCCAGCGGCAGGGGGGGCAGACAGGGGGGGCAGGGGAACTTCAAGAGCAGTTTGCTTGCCAGGGAGGGAATCTTGGGGGGTCGGTCTGGCAGCTCCTCCCTCTGCTGGGAGCTGGACCCAGCGGCAGGGTGTGCAGACAGGGGGGTCAGGTGGGTCTCCCCAGGACTGGGGTGCTCCAGGGCTGCTGGAGATGCCCCCTGCACCCACCCAGGGGTGCAGGAGCTGCCCTGGATTATGCCCACAGCCCCCCGGGTTCATTTGATGGGGAAATGGGCTGGGGGCAAGGGTGACCCCCAGGCAGGGGGGCAGAGCACTTTCTGCCCCGGGGGGCTTGTGCGCTGCGTTGCCTCTATCACCAGTGCCTGCAAAATGCTGCCGCCACCCATGTCCCTTGTCCCATGTCCCACAGCCAGCAGGTATGAGCCCACAATATCCCAGTCGTTATCCAGACACGCATACACTTTGGCTCAGGCCAGCATCACGTCCAAACCCTCCCCGGGTGCAAATGCTGCATGGCTTCTGCAGGGAAGTGTTTTTAATTTAAAATATTATTTTCCCCATGGATTTGCTTAAGCATAGAGGGGCATGGCCCAGGTGCCAGCAAGGAGTGATTGCATGGGGGACGGTGCTGCAGGGAAGGATACACGATAGCCGGGATATCCCGGCTCTTCGCTCGCCTTCGGGCAGAAAGTAGCTGCGGTTGCAAATAAAAGATCCTGGCGTCCCTCGCAAGGACAACTTCAAAAGCAGCAGAAGGATCACGTTTGGTATTTATAGGGGTATAACGGGGTTGTCAACAGGAGAGGCTGGGAATGCCGCTTCCCAGGCAGAAAAAATTCAGGATGGAAAGTGGTTTTATAGGTAGGAACGTTAGGGATAAATCTGATTTTTTGCAGTTACAGGAACAAATCCGCAACGTTGGCTCTGTAAGGAGAGAACTGCGGACTCTCACCAAGGAGAGCTGAGGTAAGGAGCTTTAAAACCCTACAAAAAGAAATTCTAGAAAGCAAGGGGGAAAAAAAAGGAGACGGCGGAGGGCCGAGAGCCAGCATATTTTGTGGCAGATTGACCTTATTTAACATTGCAAAACAAATTAAAACCTCCTCTGAGTTAACTGTTACCCAGTGGAGAAATGGAGGCCAGGACCGGCCATTGAGGGAGGTGATGGGCAACGGAGAGGGGGGAGGCTGTGGGACGGGGAGCTGGGAGCACCCCAGGGTGTCACATCGCTGTCACGGGTGAGACGGGGTGACACCCTGGACCTGGCTGGAAGAGGGGGGGTCTTTTGGGGGGAGGGGGGGAGGTTGTATTTCAAGCACGGTTCAATTCTAGGCAATGCAGAGGCATCTGCACCACTTGGGTGCAGAGTAAGCGTCAGAGAGGACGTCATGGGGTTCCTCCTGATTTTTTGCATTCAGCAGAGTTTCTCTGATTTTGCACTCCAAGCAGAGGTTTCTGGGGAGCAGGAACGCTGGGGACAAGTTGGGGACCCCCCATCCCGTGGCTCCTTGCCCCAGGACCTCCTCTTGCCCTAGGACCTCATCACACAGCTGTAGCCTCCTGCAAGAGGCAGGCGGGCTGGTTGCGAAGAGCAATATTAACCCCAAATAAAATAAATAGCACAAACGCTTCATTAAGCGCAAAGGTCTCTGGATGGCGGGGGGGGGAGCGGGGAGAAGCGCTGCAAGGGGCTCGTGCCGCTCGCGGCAGGTAGCGGGGACCGGGGGAGGTGACGGGGCTGCAAAAGCAAAAGGATCTGGAAGAAAGTTTCCAGGCAATGGATGGCAGAGGGAAGGAATTTCAGAAAGCTGACAGATGTGGGTGCATTCGAGGCAGAAAGACGGACAAAAAAAAACCCCAAAAAACTAAAAAAAAACAAAAAAAAAAGGATCGGCGAATATTTAAACTGGCTTAAACTAATGGGAGCTTTTCGAGAGGTTGTCAAGGAGATTTAGCAACCCGAAGAGCCGCGTCTCATTTTCCTGTCGGGAGTGACATCACTGTCATAAATAAGTGACCAAAAGCCACATGTTTTGCTTGTGATGCTGCCCAGGCAGGAAGCCTCAAATACCTCCCTTCCGAACTAGAGCTTCTGCTGGGGCCAAACTTTTGATTCTTGTCAGATCAAATATTGAAAAGGAAAAAAAAAAAAAAAAGACCAACCCAAAACACATTGGGGAAACAATACTAGGAATGAAAGGCACCTTTTCTGCCAAAAAGAATAAAAATAAGTCCTCCCTGTAAGGGAAACCTTTGGGAGGGGGATGCTCTCGGGGCCCAGCACCGTCCCCTGCCCATACCTCTGCCCGCGCCTCCTGCCTGCATCCTTCGGGCAGGCAATGGGATTCACCGCCGGCAAAGGGACCCCGGGAAGGTGCTGCGATACAGCCCGGCTGTGCCTGCTGTGATGCCCCAAGGCTGCTTCTGCTGCCACGAGAGGTTTGGGGCTTTACCTCGCTACCTTCACTCCAAACCTTTACGGTTTAAGGAGATGCGTGCCGGAAGAATTTCCTTCTTTTTGGTTTTTTTGACTGCGAGGAAAACGCTGTCAATTTTTCTGGACTGCACTGTGCAAACCCAGGCTGTTGCGCTGCACTCCGGCACTTTGACAGCTCGGGATGGAGGTTCTGGAGAGAGGCCGAGCCGCCACGGGGCAGCGACACGGGCAGGAGAAAGATCTCGAAGGCTGCGGCTGAGTCTGGCCCATGGGAACCTGGTCTGGGTCTGCACGGGCTCTTCTGCCGAATTCCCCGGGGCTGGGCTGCTGCAGGTCCCCAGGGGCCTCACAGGAGACGACACAAGATTTGGGGGCACTACAGGTGACCCGAGGAAAAGGCCATGAATGGGGCACGAGAAGCGCACGTGCCACGCAGGGGCTCTTGGTTTCCTGCAGGGACGGGCGAGCTGCTCGCTGGAGGAGCCTGGGAGCGCACGGCAGGGGGAAAGCTCACATCTGCCAAAAATCTGGAGCGTGCCGGGGTCAAACAGCTCAGTCTGGCACTCTGAAACTTGCCTTGCTCTTCTCGCTCCCGCTTCCTCTTTCATCCCCCAAGCCCATGTGGGACCTCTGCGATGGGGCAGCGGGCCTGTGGACCCCGGCATTGCCACGGCAACCCCTGCATCCCCAGCATCCCTGTGGATGCCACTGGTCACCCTGGCTCCTGTGACCCCATCCCCCCCCTCCACCACATGGGCTTTGATGGCATCGGATGCTCCTCTGCAACCCATCAGCCATGCACATTACTTTTTCTTTTCTTAGGATTGAAATGTTTGGTTTAACCAGAAAATGTTTAAGCTTGATACAGGGATTTGGCTGAAAGCTAGCAGGCCCCGAGAAGGAGCAGGGTGGGCCATGTGTCCCTGTGCTTCCCTCTAGCTTTAATTCCTATCAAGCACTCTTTGCTGAATGAGATGGTGAAGGAACCAAATTCCTTTCCAGGTCGCTATCTCAAAGCCAGCGTTTGTCATCAGCAATTAGGAAACAGCCCAGGGTTTGGTGGCTGCTGCAGTGGTGGATGAAGAGCCAAGGAATACCAAGGAGGAACAGAGCATCAGTCATCGCCGCCTCGCGTGTTGTAACATTCCTGGTTACCCACAAAATCTCTGACAAACAGCCCTGGGGTGGTAGCTACACAAGTATCTTGTGCTTCCATAATTCCAGCTTTCTGGCCCCCCGAAAGTCAGGGAGGAGCCATTTGATGGCCACGTTTTGCAGCCCTACGGAACTTGTTGGTTATTCATTTGCAGCGCGTTCATTAGCGATAATGCAAACGGCATCAGGAATAAGTAGCAGCAGGTCCCCGACCGCCCCTTTCCCAGGGAGACACCAGGAAAGCAATAGGTTGTGGGGGCCATGGGGGGGTTGGCTTCTCACCATGTACCTCGGGGGGGTGTTTAATGGACCTTCTGTGGCCAAACCTTGGCCAGTGGATGGACAACTGGTAGGTAGGGAGGTGGGCTCCCACTCAGCCCCACTGTTGGGGCTGTGCAGCCACCCAAATTTAAGTACCCACCATCACAGCCTGGACTGGAAGGGTCCCTTGGAAACCCACCTGGACGATCCCAAATGTGCCCCATGGAGCAAGTGCGATGGATTTACCATTTCATGACCCTTCAGAGAGGGAAGGAGCTGACTCTTCTGGAAAACCAAACCAGCGAAGGCAAACAGATAGATGGTCTGACCCAAGGGAAGTCATCACATCTCAGCGCATCCTCCCCAGATCCTTCTGGAAGTCGCAGCTTCCCTGCCAGCGCATGGTGTCAGCGAGCAACCGGGTGATCCGTGGCCACCCAAAACATTTATTTCAACAAGCCATGGCTCAGCACCCCTTAGCCCAGCACCCCTTGGCCAGGCTCTCCCGCTTTCATCCCAGACCTGTGCCCTGCTTGCACCGAAGCCTCGGGGAAGAGGAGCTGGCCCAATCTAAAGTTCAGGGACACCTCGGGTTGTCCCCAGGATGGGCTGTGCATGGAGGCATGGCACTGGGGGGGTCCCTGGCCCTGCAAGGTGCTGGAAGGGAACACGCTGTCGGCGCCGGCATCGCCTGCCTCCTCCCTTGGCTCTGTTGCTGGTGACAAGTAATAACCAAGCAAGGGCCAGAGATGTCACGGTGCCTCTGGGGACTCCCAGCCCGCAGGACGATGCAAGAGCAGGGACAGAGCCCACGTGCAGGAGGTTCCCTGGGGCTGCTGGAGAGCACGGGCAGGGGGGTTTCCCTTGAGCAAAGCACCACCAGAGCATGGTTTGCATGCGAGGGCACCCACCAGGGCAGGCAGTGTGGCCCGCACGGCAAAGGGACCATTCCTGAGGGTGCACATCCCAACCCAGTGCCCTCAGCTCAGCCCAGAGCCCCCGGGGGGTCCCACACATCACGCAAACTTGCTTTTAGTCTGGATGGCAAAACACCAGCGTTAGTCCTCAGCAAAATATATCGACCGGTAGCCACAACGCATCCCCCATCCTGGTCTGGAGACCACCGCGGAGGGCTGGGAGCATTAACCCTTCCTGCCGGCACGCGGCTCACGTTCGCCACAGCAGCGCTGCCATCGCCGGGCACTCCAGGCACAGGCAGGAACGTTCACGTGGAGGATTTCTGTTCAGCCCGAGGCAGAGACACCGACTGCCACATCCCCTAACTACATTCTGCAATACCTGTCACGTTGCTACCAGCAGCACCTCTTTAAGGGGAGCTCAGCCCATAGACTCGGTTGCCCACGTAGGCATGACCGGGGACATGCCGCCGTCTCGGTGTCGGAGCAATCAGCCCCGGCAGCTCCACACAGGCAGCCCCGCGCCCCGCCATGCTCGCTGCCGCCATGCAAGGCACAGACACATGTTCCCTATTAAGCACAGAAAGGCAGCTCCGCTGCGGCTTGCTTTAAAGGATCAAGCAACAGTGCAATTAGAAAGGGGGGGGGAAAAAAAAAAAAAGAAAAGAAGTAAAGAAACCGCCCTGGTGTGTTTTTCCACCAGGACGTTTAGAAATGTTTGCCGTGGCAGAAGCACTGCAGGCTGGCGGGGAGGCGTGAGCCAGTGGCAGCGCTCCTGGGAGCGGGGAAAAGCTCTTTTTCCCCTTTGCAGCACTGAGTAGTCCCAGCCTGGCTGTCCTGAGCCTGGTCTGCATGCTGGAGGATGCCAGACGTAATTGCAGCAAGAATAACCACTGCTGGGGAGCCTCTTCTTGCAAAAGGCGAGCCCGAGCACGGCGGCGAGGGGCCAGCAAGAAGCAGACCCCCCCCTTGTGCCCCAGTCCCCGGCAGGGCTCATCCTGCACGCACTGAGCCCTAGGGGGGGGAAGCTGCAGCCTCGCCTCCTGAATCCAAACGCTCGCCTAAAATCTCCGTTAACTCGCTTAACCCCAAGCAATTTTCTTTTGCACAGCCCCCTCGTGTGCCACGGGACAAACCACACACGGATCGCAAAAGTTAACTCTAGGTATCAGAGGCTGGCTTTCTTTTGGGGGGACTTTTTTCCCCCCCACCATCTGATTGCTTCAGAAAAACACTAACTAATCTCACTCCAAGTCTAGCCCTGCCGAGGAGGGGGGTGAGGGGGACTCATTCCTGGGAGCCCATCAAAGCCCTCCATCCCTTTCAACTCCCCTTCGCCTGCCTCACTCCCTCCCTCCCGCTCCAGAGAAGACTTCTCCAACAGCCTCATTAACCTTGGGCTTTCTCCAGCACCTTCCCCAAATAAGCAAAAGTTATTCCCGGTTGCTTTTCCCCTTGCCTGAGGAATTGGGGTGGGTGCAGGAAGGGGAGCGGGCGCTTACCGGGCAGGAGGCAGAGGGAGCAGGCGAGGAGCATCCCGCTGGGGAGGTCCATGGGAACGCCGGCTGCCCTGCTCCCCGGCCCCGAGCATCCGCGGGAGGCAGCCAGCCAGACTGGTAGCCTCGCTCGCAGAGCCCTTTCCTTATCCCCAGCCTTTCCCGGCTCCCTGACAGAAGACAAGCATTGGGAGGGAGTGGGAGGGACGAGGGAAACTTGTAGGAGGTACAGCAGGAGAGGACTGGAGAGGGGACAGCCTTCGGCACCCTTTAGGGATCAGCTTCCCGGCAGGGCCGTGCTGGCTGGGAACTTCAACCCCACGGCAGCACCCTGGTCTTCTCCCCACAGCACCCTGCTGGGGGTCCCCCAGGGGGTCCTCACCCCGGTGGGGGCTTGGCAATGGAAGTCACTGGTGGTTGGGGGTGCTACCTCTGCTGGGTGCCACCCCTATTCAGGTGCCACCTCTGCTTGGATGCCACCTCCACCCAGGTGCCACTTCTGCCCAGGAGCTGCCACTGCTCAGCTACCAGCTCTACTCAGGTGCCACCTCTGCTTGGGCACTACCTCCACCCAGATGCCACCTAAATCTTGGGTGCTACATCTACTCAAATGCCACCTCCGGCTGGGTAGCACCTCTGCTCAGGTGCCACCCCCGCTCAGGTGCCATCCCCAGGAGTGAGGAGAGCAGCACCGGTGCCCACAGCACCAAGGAGACTGCTGCGATGCCGCAGGGCATCACGCAGCCCTGGGCCAGCCAGTCTCACCATTTTGTTTCCCCAGCACAGACCCAGGCACAAGCACATCTCCGCTGGCACGGGCACCCAGGAGAGTCCAGCTGGGAAGAAAAGGGCAAAGGAGCAGGAGGAAAACTGCAAATGGGCATTGCCTTCCCCTCTGCCAGGGCTGTCTGTGGGCACAAGGGGTGCTCCCGCTGCACACAGCTCTTGGGCCAGTATCCCCAGTGTCCCTGCAACAGCCACCACTGTCATTTAGGGCCCTGGCACCTCTGAGCTGGACTACGGAATCCAAAACACCTGAAAACCAGCAGCAACCCCAGGGGGGGATTTTATCCCTCCATCCTCTTCCTCCCCAGGCCGGGGACACTCTTTGGAGGAAGCACCCAGGAGGTAGTTCCCGCAGGACCTCAGCTCCAGCCATGGCAAGGCTTTGGGGCTGGGATGCAGCCACGAGCGCCTGCAGACCAGACCACGCAGCCTGGCTGGGGAGGTAGGACCAGCCACTGCCTTGCTTCCATTTTTTTTTTTCTAAGCGGAAAAGATAAATCCAGTCTTTGGCTTGTTTTCAGACAGTAGATATGACCCCGGAGGTCCTCCCTTGCCGCCCTCCAGCCCAAGCCCTCTTTGCCAACAGGAGCATCTCCACGTACAGTTGCTACCTGCGGCAGATCAAGCTGGGCGAGACCAACCTCGCAGCCAGGAGGAAAGCGAAGCCAGAGCCAGCTCTCCTCCCATCAACGCAGAAGAACAAGCAAAGGTCCTCGATGGGGTTTTTGTCCCTCTCCCCCCGCAGGCGAGAGCGAAGATCTTTTGAGATGGGTCCAAACGCCGACGTCTCTGTCTACCGAGTGTCTGTCAGACAGCTTGGGGTCTGCGGGAGGGAGATAAGCTCCGCTCGAGACACTCTTAGATGAAACAGAGCGTCTGCAAGATCCAGTTTCTTTTCATTCTCCCCTCTTCCCTCCTGAAAATATACTTTTGGGGTCTGCAGGCGGGAGAGGACACATGTCTGGAACGGAGATCAAAGCAGCAGTAGGATCCAAACGGGCGCAGAGACATGGATGCTCTTTAGCTTGTTTGTACAGTGCTCCTTCCACCAGCAAACCGCTGCTCGACAGATATTTTCAGTTCTTAACTGCATCTCCCAGCTGGTTTTTCCCTATAGAACTCTGGAGGAAAAAGCAGAATTTCAGGGGGCAGCAATGGCTGAAAGGGACAAAAAGCATTTCTGGCTTGGTGAAAGCTAAAAAGGAGGGTTTAGGGGATAAAAGGAGGCAGGAAGCACAGAAGAGATTTAAACCACAGCATAAGCAGAGCACAGAAGGAGGGATCCCTGGGAAGTGGATGCTTTGAGCAGGAGTCGAAGCCTCTCTGCTCCTGCTCCCAGCCTGGGGCCACAGACAGGGCACGTTGAGGGGAAATCCCTCGCTGGGAACTAAAGTCTCCCATGCAGTTGGCAGCCAAGCCAGTTTTTCAAGGAAAAAAAAAGTTCACTACAAAAGGCCTGTACAATCGCAACATTTGCATCTTGGTTCAGTTTTCAGAGAGGCCATTTGGAAGCAGCTCACTGGAACCCACTGGCTTGAAGGGTTATGGAGGAAAAATGGGAAAAATAACACCAGAGGAAGGGTCCTGGGCCTCATGTTCTCCCTCCCTCCCCACACAGAGCAAGTGAGCTCTCAAGTGCAGCATTTTAGAAGTTAAAAAACCCCATGGAAAACCGAACGGCAGCAGCTGCCTCCTGCCTTGAACTCCCCAACCTGGAAACCAGCGGAAAGTCGGATTTACAGGGATCCGCTTTTCCACTCCTGCCAAAGGACTGACCGCGAGTGGTTTCTCTGCACCGGCCAGGGTTCTTGTCCAGCAAAGTAAAAGGAGACACCCCGGGAGCTGCTTTGGTTTCATGAGAACGTCCATCAGACCCTTCCTGCTCCGTCTGTCTCGGTTGGTTGCCTGCAAGCAGCTTGTAGATCCCTGGGGGGTTCTCATTAGTCTAAACTGGACCCGACTGGGATCGCAGGGGAGCGGGGTCTGGCTCCACTGATCTTCTTGCAGAACTTTGTTTGAACTACAGCCACCCATGCAGCTCTGCAGACCCCTCCTCTGCCGGGTTACCACCGCTCGCCCTCGGACATCATAACGCAACCAAGCCTCTCCGCACGAGCAGGGAATGCCAAGAGTTCAACGGAGAAGAGCTGGGCTGTGATAATATTGATGTAATAATTCCAAAATGTAAACAGCTGTCGGTGGAAGCCATGGATGGGAAAACAAAACCCAAGGAAATGACAGTATTTCAACCCCTTGCACAAAGGGGTTACAGGGGTATCCCATGACACCCAGCAGTAGGGCTCCTTAACATCTAAAAGCCCCACAGAAGATAATTTTCATGTATTTATCATATGATATTAATCCTGTAAAAAAAAAGCTGGGCACATTAAAAGCTCCCTTCCCACTTCATTTTTGGATCCTGCTCCAATTTCAGCACTGTTTCATCCAGCCCAGGCAGCGCTTTCCAAAAAATGTGCTGCCTGCAGCGGCGCAGAGCCGGGGGCAGCCGGGGAGACCCCCGCACACTGCCACAGGGTGAAACACAAACTCAGGCACCTGGAGGGGGGTCATTTTAAATTTTTTTTTTTTTCCACTTTTTTCCCCTATCTTCCAGCTGCTGACTGCAACAAACAGCGCAGCAAGGGGAGCTGTTTCCAGCCTGAGCATCACAGGGGAAGAGGACCGGCCAGCAGCACCGCTTCCTCGCCGGGTTGACATCTCCAATAGAGACCGGTGCTGCTGCAAACAAACAGCCAGTCCCCACGCAGGCCCTTGGAAGGGTGGTAGGAAAAGATTTGCTGCGAGCTCTGCCTGGCTCCCAGCAAGCCCTCGGGGTGGTTTGCTTTATGCTGGGTTTTGCTGGGGGATGTAGGGGTAGGGGGGTGCTCGGAGCCAGGGTGCTGGGCTTTGCAGGTGCTTGCAGGATCTGTCCCGACGGTTAATGGTGCATCCCACCGTGCTGCAAAACCAACCCGATGAGAGCGGCGCTGAGCCCCCAGGGCCCTCCAGCAGCCAGGAATAAACTGGTGGAGAAAGTGAGAAACAAAACAGTTTTCTCCTGAAAACAGAGCAAAGCACGAGCTTTTGGTTGCGAAGGGCAGCCCTCAAGCTTCTGACCCCAAAAAAGTCTGGCTCCAGAGAAAAATTTCTGCTCATGGCTCAGATGTCAGAAGTCTGTGACCAAAAAACCCTCATATTTTCTCTGCAAGTTTCCAAGAAAAGTGTCAAGGTGCAAACTAAAAGCTTGTGCACGTTGGAGATCATCCATGCTCTGTGGCCAAACACCACTGGGCTTAAACCACTCCGTCCCATCAGCAGAAGCAAAACCAGGGAGCTGAACTCTGCACCTGAGCCCCGGGCAAGCTTTTTACCTTCCTGACCATCCACATTTTCTGCAAATGCCAACATAAGTCAGTAAAAAGCAAGGAGAGAGCAGGCAGGGACTGTTTCAACCCAAGCAGCAAGTTCATCTGGCTGCAGATCTGGTCAGGGAATTACACAAGCCATTCCTGAGCCATTCCCAAAGGGAAGATCTCGTGTCTTCCCCAAATTAACATCCTTGGATGGGCTTCTTATAAAAGCTGGATAAGGAGAGTACTGCGCTAAGCGTGCCCTTGCAGCTTGCGTGAGGATGACCCCAAGCTGCACGGCTGAACCAGGCCAAGCCTTGGTGCACCGCTTAAACAGAAAAGCCTACCAGTATCTACATTTACCTTCCATCCATGTGTTCATGCTCAAGCTATCACCCCAGCGCCTCCAAACCCTACACAAGCTCGTGCTTCCGACTCACCGGCTGCCTGACCTTCCTCCCCTGCATTTTGAAGTCATCCCTGCAGTTCACTGTAGGTTTTCCCACGTGTGGTCATTTTTTCCCCAAACTTCAGCTTTTCCTTGCAGCAGATGCCTCCTTGCGCCTGACCTTTCCGAGGGTGTCATGTATTGGATGCTATTGCTTCTGGAGTTTTGGAAGAATTAAGCTAGGATACAAGGAATGTAAACACAGGATGGGAATGAAAACAAATTCCCTAATTCACTAATATAAACGGAGGAAGGGTTGATGGTGTCATCTGGGGATTTAATCGTGAGCTGCCCTGGGGGTGATGGTGCTGCAAAGGGTGCGGGATGCACCCGGCGCTCCCAGGGGTGCTTCTCCCACGGTTTCAGGGGAAGGATGGGTGCAGGGTAGATGCTCAGGTTACACAGGTCCCTCAGCCCTGGAGCACCAAACACTGCTCAAGACCTGGGTCTGGGGTCAGGATTGCACCCACCAGC